TTCTAAAGCAGATAACTTCCATGATATGATTTCTATTTCAGTACATATGTTATTTACCTAGAAAAAGATAATACTTTTCACTTTAAAGATGTATTTAGGTGCTTTTAAAATAAGCAGACTTTTAACCTGAAAAACTGATAATTTGCATTTTTTACCTGCTGCTAAATCTAGAGAAGTTGCAATCAGACAATAGTTATTTGGAGTTCACTGCCTAAGCACCATTGCTTTTTGAACGCATTTAATCCTAAGTGTCCCAAAGCTACCATACAAAACTCCCAAAACTATAAAGAAAATAATTTATGTAGAAATCCTTTTGTTCAAGGAGGTCACATGTAAGGCTTAAAGAACACTATTTTCAATCCTCTTTATTCAAACATCCACTAATGTATGTTTGAATTGACTAATTTTATTAGGGGCAGATGAACATTTGTAAAAACTTTTAAAACAGAAATTTTAAATGTTAATGGCTACATAATACCAGTTTTTACTTTAAAGAAACAATTTAGAAGTGACTACTACAAATATATTGGAATTCCTTTTTTAATTCTGATTTTACAAATTAAAGTCATTACAATATCTTTATTATTTTTCCGTTTGAGATTGAAGTCATATTCTATATAGAAAAGTTTGTTTTATGTTGTCTTCCTATAATAAAAATGAAATTGCTGAATAAGATATTAATGTGAACACTCATACCACTCTCTACTGTCATTTTCATGGAGACCAATCTCCCCTACTGATATCTTCAGGATTGTATCAATGCTAAAACAAGAATTAAAATCTTAGACTTCCAGGTTCTCTAGTTGAGCCAAAGGACCACGTGTGATTTGGTCACATTTTATTTGGTGCCGTAACGTAAAGGCCAGTGTAAAGTGGACTACTTATTAGAATTTTAAAGAATGGTTCAAATTCTACCATCAGTCTAGAATGTATAACAAGTGAATTGTCATAAATAATCAAGAAACTACTTGAATTGGATTTAACAGGGTTATTCAATCCATCACTTTTAATTTGGAGCCGTAAGAGCAAATTTTGCAGAAAGGGCCCTCTCAAGACACTTCTCTCTTAGACCACTTATACATTTACAGGGGTTAACTTCTTGGCCCTGAAGTCCTGAAAGGTATATCTAAATGGTATTCTTTTTCTAGAATAGGGAGTTTGTTATTTTGAGGGGTCATAAAAAGCACACGAACAAAAAATTCATCTACAAATTTTCTGTTGCTCTTTCAAGGGCTACATCTAAACAAAAAGGGGTTTCTGTTGTTTCAAACACTAATATAATCCATGTAGCAGTATCTTAGACACAAAAACTTTGTGAAAAATAACTTCACATTCCCCTATATTAAAGCAAAGCAAAACAAAAAGTGTAATTGTTAAGCTTAAAGATCACCTGTTACATGTTAAATCGGTTTCCAGATAGCATATACTCTAAATGGTATGTTTTTGCTCAAACTCACAAAATTCAAGGAAAATTGTTTCCTTAAGAAAGTACTTAAGAGCCACACACTGATGCCCCAACAAATTAGCTGCCTCCAGTTATACATACTGAAAAAATGTTCATAAAATGAAGCAGTGGGTCAGCAATACAATTCCCAATGCTTATTACATAAATTTTAACATTATAACATATAGAATATGACCACAATAATGATAGCAGAACTAAAAACAAAACATCATTAAATGTATTTACTTTTATAAGGGTAAAGCAAATGAATCCCAAAGCAGGTTAAAATGTTGGGTTTATGCCTTGCCAAAATGGTCTTCATAAGAATGTTTACCAAATTGTAGTCCCACATATCTCCCAATCCTGCTTTAATGTTAATTTACAGAGTCAATTATTTTTTTAAATCCTCTGTAAATGGAACTGCTGTGTTCATAGATCAATATAATTTTGAAAAGCATCACAGGATTTAAAACTTCAAAATTTTTCTCAATTATATACTTTAACTTCCTATATTTTTTAAGTTGGATGAATACTTCCAGATAATAGATCCACTGAAAGGAGTTTTAATCATATCTCAAGCATTTTTATATCATTTTTATCAATGCCTAAAATTAAAATGTGGCTAAAGACAAATTTAACAACTCTTTAATTTGAATGCATTTTAATAGAGCCTTTATGAGATGATATAAAAAAGTGGTATTTGGGCCCAGGATGCCTTCTCAATTTTTTGGAGAAGTTTACAACTGTTCTAGCTGTGGTATTTTGTCTTTAATTTAGTTGGGCTATCTCTCCTTTAAAACAACTGGTTAATCCTTCTCTTCAACTTTCTTTGACTAAATTGGACATCAGTCACTATTAGAAGAATATCTCTGAATTTAAAAGTTACAAATATTCTACTAGTAGAACTTTGATGATAATGTGTGGATATTTGTGAAATGCAGTAATATTTTGGTTTAAAAATATGTAGCTGTAACTGACACCAAACATGTCCCATTGATATGAATGTTATAACTATATTAAAAAGGTTTTTCTTTTTTTGGTTTTGGTTGGGTTTCTGGGGGAAAAGAAAACAACTCCTAAAGCAAGACTCAGTCGTGGATTTGTATAAAATAAAAAGAGGAAAAGACACCACCATTTCTTTCTTGTAATGTGAGGACATATGTTCTAGAGTCAGATTTTTTAACTAACTTCTGTGAACTCCTGTAGGCCAAGAGGCTAGAACTCATTTATTTATAGAAAAACTTTTCCATTTATTATCCTAATGAACAGAATGAGATAATACTGCTTCTTAAGGCAACTAGCCTAATCCTGAAGAGATACTCATACACTACTGAAGATAAATATTTTTCTGCTTGGTTGGGAGCAAAGGACAGTCTAGCTTGGTGATGGTATCCACAGAAAGAAAGCCACGAGAGATAAAGCTATAGCTTTCTCTTTAGTGATACCATTCTCATTCAACAGGTTTAGATTCTCTCTCTTGACAAAATATTACATGCCAATTCTAAGCTTTTTTACTAAAATGGAAACACATGTTTGAAATGTTAGGAAGAAGCATGTAGCTTTCAGACCATTCTTCCAGCACGATATAAAGCTTTAGGAGAACACCATAGGGAATTTGCTTTTTAGGGAAGAAGGAGTTCAAATTTTCAATAGGAACAAAGGAAGCTAAGGGAGCACATGGGGAATAAGATGTTTCCAAGGAGCTTCAGTATTCTGCTATTCAGCATAAAATGCTACTCTGGAAAATACTAAGCCTTTACCCGTGACTCATCACTATCATAGTTCTTTTATTCTTAAATACTTTTCCAATATATTTTGGAATTGTTTTTGGTACTGTTAATATAGCATCTACTCCTTCAGTTCTATGTACAAGGACTCTCTAGAGTATACTTAGGGCAGAAAGATCAATCATTTTTAGCCAATACATTATGTTGATAGATTACTGAATTTTCTCTTTAATATAGCATTTATAAATTCTTTATTTGTCCCAAGCAAGGAGGTGAATCCATATAATGTTTTAAAGCCTCAGGGTTGTGTGACTGAAATATATGTGTGTTTACAGACACATAAATATATGTATTTAATATAATTCTTTACAAATATACTGATGGCCAGTGGTGCTGTGGTATAAAACATCTCAGAAATATTGGTATTAAAAAATGCCATATTTAGTATACTTCTTGTATCCGATACTGTAAGACAGAGAAGACAGATTAAGTGCAGTCTATAAGTGATAAATTCTCAGAATACGCCTGTTGGATCATGTTGTGATAGAAAAACTTGTGATGGTCAACGAAAACTGAGATGGAAACTCATAAAAAATCATAAGTAAGTAAAAATAGTGAAGGTTTCCGACGGTCTTATCTATATTCCTTCAGGACAGCTCCCCTTCTGTCATCTCAGATAATATTGGTCATGGATTATTTTCTTCATTATGTTTTAATCTCAATGGTAGATTTGCTAGCAGCATATCTGATATAGTAAGTAGATATTCAGACACCTGATGAACATATGCAATTGTTGAATAAACTATAATGTTATGCAAAAACTCACATGAGGAGGCACTTGAGTGGCTTGTTAGACTTTGGTAAAGTCAAAATGAAAAAAATGCCTCATTTAGTAATAATGAAAATATTTTCACTTACTAACACGGAATGCCTCCAGATATATTAAGATGTTGGTCAAATCAGTCAGAAAAATGGTAAATGAAAAGGTTAAAAACTTCTGTTTTTTGTTATTTGCCCTTTAGAGTCTCTTTTTAACAGATGATAGAAAACTTTCACATTCAGAGTTGGTCATTTTCATTCTTTTCAACTTATTTGCGTGAGAAAAATGAAGAAACCTGTAGTAGTCACAGTATTGTTTGGATAGCTGGATGATATTATTCTTCAGATCCACAAATTAACTAACTTACTTGACAGCTAATAAATTACTAATGTCCATTGTTTTCCAGAACCATATTTTTCAGTGTTCTTTCAAACTGTAGAAGGATTTTGTATCTAATCCAATTTAATTGGGAAACAAAATAAATGCTTGCAAAGTCCAGGGTTTTAATGTCTTCTGAATCTGTTGTATTTGAAATTAGGCATTTCTGTAAAGTAATGAAAATTCATCGATGGTAATATTCCCTAGAAAAAAATGAAGTAAACGTAACAAAGGAAATGATTAAATACAAAAATGTTGGTACTTGTCTTCAGTGTACCTCTGGAATTTAAAACATGAGTATGTTCTTTTATATTTTAATCAAAGATGCAGATATCTCTAGTATATTTGTCATAGCAAATTTGAAAGTCATAAACAGCCAGTAACATTTGAAAATCATTTTGTGTTCCACAACATTTGAAAGTTATTATAGCTAATGAATAACATTTGAAAATTGTTTAAAGTGGTCAGTTCACAGATGATATTGTATTTACTATAATGGTTTAAGCTATAATTGATGGAAAATAGTTGGCAATTGCATAAAAATAAAAATAGATCTTAAATTTATGGAATTTGGAAACTTGCTTTCAAGGGATGTTTAATTAAAGCAAAGTTTCTATTGTACGTGTGCTTTTTAAACCATACAATTTGGCACATGAAAGTGCAGTGGGTAATATGGCTGAAAGAAAACAGGTGGTGGTCCAGATGTTACATAATAAGTAGGGTATCCTCCCTCAGCAGCAAAGTATGGAGCAGGCTGATAAAAGCAAATTACATTGTCTGTATTGGGTAGAATATTCTGTTCTCCAAGTACTTTTAAAGCCATAAGAGTGATCATATTGAGTGTCTGTCTTCTTTCACGACCCATAAGGCAAACCGTGCTTTCATTCACAACTCCACGCAAGGTCATAAGGTAGGCATACTTGCTCTTTTCTTCACCTATGAAGTGGTTGCAGAGGTACGATTCAATCTTCTTTTGCTGTTCTGCTACATCAGGAAAATCAATGAAGAATCTAGAGCACATATAACGTTCCAGGATCTTGATTTCTGCTTCACAAGCTGGCTTAAAGTCACGAACCAGCAAGTTGCTGTACTTCAGAAGGCCGCCACCTCTAATCTCTTCAGGTTTTCTGGTAGATATAAGTTTGTATTGCAAATGTGTCATTGCTTCTTGGAAGTCTCCATACATGCTTTCAGCTACCACAATAGGATAGGATTCTTTGGTTAGCTTAGCATTTTTGTCACTGTAGAAGTCTAACATGGGATCCAAAACAATTTGAAAGGAATCTACACTAAATTCAAATTGTCGTCTAAGTGAATTCACAAATTTTAGCTCTACATTCTTCCCAGTGTTATTTGAAAGAGAGATGAGACTCCAACGATCGTGCTTATTGCAAACTTTGACCATTTTCTGCACATAAGCCTCTTTCATGGTCTTTAGGGTGATCTTTTCCTTTTTTACACCCTTTGGTAAAAAGTCCAGTAGACAACCTAGAACTGCATCCTTAACAACCTGAAATTCTTGATCACTTGGTAGTTCAACACCAAAAATAACATCCAGATCCTTATAGCTGATTCCATTGTGGCTTGCAAGTATGTAACTTGCTGTGGAACCATTTAATCGGGTATCTTTAACAATAATTCCTTGCTCTATCAGTTGATCTTTGACAACATGAATGATATCTTTTGGTTTTACCTCCAATGTGGGGAAATTTCCCCTTCCATGAATTGGAATTACTTCACCTAACACTTGATCCAGTGTTATAACTTGATCCCAAGTGAGATTGCTAAATCTGATTTCAGACATTGCGAAGTCAGTAGACCAACTAGAAAGCAAGTAAAATATTGAGACAAAATGTTAGCATCTTGAAATCAGTGTTATGCCTAAAGCATATGAAAAAGTTAAAAATAGACTTATCTTCAATGTAAACCAAACCAACACTAGGAATTATCAATGTATCTAATCATGTTTAAATCTATAAGTAAAATAAAAGCCACTATGATTATGTCAAAATTGTTAGATCCATTGGTGCATGCAAACAGACATTCTCAGGGATTTGTTAGAGTTGTAATTATTTTTGATGTAAAATGGTGGCCTTTCTCAATCTTTCTTCAAGTAAATACTATAATGATTGTATTCGTTTGGTGGTATAAATTTTGTTCATGAGATAATCATAGTACATCACTGAGGTTAACTGTCATGAATTTAAAGTGAGATCAAAGAGCATGTCTGTGTGTGTTAGACCCAACTGACTGAATGGCATAATGTTTAAAAGCAATATATAGCATCTTAATTCAAAAGCATCACAGTATTCTTATATATATATATTATTTAGTTATATATATTACTGCTCTCACTTTAAAGAATACTACTTAAGTTCATTATTAGAGTATAAATTCCTTGAATTGCTTGAGGATAAGGATAGCACCTAATTCATTACCTCTTCTATGTGCCCACTAACCCTTTAACAAATGCTCTTGAAAGAAATAATGAATGTCATTTTAAAACGAAAAACAAATGAAACTACTAAATTTGTCTCCAAAATGAGAGCAAGAATATATAAAAGCATAAGATTCCTGAGCTTTAAAAAATGTTTTCTGCACCTCTGCAATATGATATGCTCAGAAAATTTTACAGTTGTGGGTGACAGAAAATTAAAATTATAAACACTATAAATGCAATTAAATATAATTATACTATTATGTAATTAGGTACAATTACAGTTATTAAATGGATCTTCAAATACTCTATTAAGCTATCTAAGCAAATAAATCTAGGAAAGTAAATAAAGTTCATTATAGGCATAGCTTTGGGTTTAGGCATTCTTTCCTGAATTCCAGAAATAAAAATTATATGAAGCTTAAGACAGGTTTATATAGACAGTATTCATATTTTGCCTATCTAGGGAGCTATTAGAACAGAATCTGAATATTTAGAATTAAGTCTTGTATATTTCCCTAGTAGAACTACAGCAAATAGAACCATCTTATTTACATCTGTAGAACCGATTTGATATTCCAAGCATTTCGCAAAAGGCCAATTAAGCAATGACAGATCTGTGTCAGTGAGAAGGTAAGACTAAACCTTTTCTGTTTCTCTATATGAAATCCCCATAAATATGAAAAAAAGTGTATTTATTATGTGATGAAATGGCCCACATAATGTATTGTTTATTTTAAGCCACATTAATTACTAATGTTCATACAGTTTCATCAGTTTTGTCAATATCCAAAACAATACTTAAAGATGAATGGGCTGAACTAATTACACATCAGGCTGTTGGATTTTGGTCATTCATCCATCAAATGAAATGATCTGTATAGTGTCTTTAGGACACTGAAAACAGCAAGATGCTACATGAAGGAACTATCATTGAACTGTTTGAAGCTAACAAAGTTTATCTGCAAATTCTCGATCTGGAAAAGTATTAATTCATTGGCTGGCTTCATGTAAAGGCTTTAGGAAGATCAATCATCTGTCTAATAAATATTTTAGAAATATCACATGTAAACTATACAAATTTAATTGATATAGAAAAAGTTCCCAAATTCCTCTTCAATATGCAAATTTCTTTTGTTAATAGCAATTTTCCTTTCCTTAATGGCAAATTCCCTTTGTCAATATTAGTTAAAAGTTAAAAATTCAATGGCCCAATCCCAGGCCTGTAATCGCCATTTAAACCTATACCTTTAATCACCAATGATCTGAAAATAAAGGAGATCGTTTATATTGGTATATTGACATTATTGAAATCACCAAATTCCTTTCCATACAAAAGTTTACAGGATTTTTATGTGCAAATAAAACCATCCGAAGACATGACTAAGTTAACTATTTAATTGCCAGAATGCAGGAGGCCTTGATCAAAAAAGGGTCCTTCAAATCAAGAAATGGGAAGTCTCACTTTATATCTTGGACCTGCTCATAGATATTAGAGAAGGAAGGGAAGGGACAGAATTTTATTTCCCAGAGAGAATCATCGTAAGATCTTGCCAAGACAAGAAAGAGGCCCAAAGTTTAACTTCATTTTGCACTATAAAAGTGGTATAGGAAAACTGATCATCACTGTGAAACTATGTAATTGCTGCTTGATTACCTATGTTAATGATACCCAAACTTTCTGGTCTTCAGAATTATCTAGAGCTTTAAAAAAATACAAATATAGAATATTTTAGGCCTAGTATTTCTTATTAAATAAAGTAACAGTGAGTCCAACTTGCTAGAATGTGGGAAAACTGGGTCCTTGGTTGAACAATATATTATTTAACTATCAAAATCAGGGCTTTAATAACCAGTTAGTTTTTTTTTCACCTTGCTCTATCCACAACTACATAAACTTATTTTTTAAATCAAGCCTATTTTTCTGTTGAATGTTTAACATTCCAATCGAGGAATTCTGAGCTACCATCTCACCAACTACCTCTACAGCTATATATACAGGAAACGCAAATTAGAACTTCTTAAAAATAGCCTTACAATAAAGCATAATTATAAAAATAAATCTGTGATACACACACATACACACAAACACATATACACATATGGAAATATATGAGCACACAAAATACAATAGAATATATGTCACAATGGAATAAATATAAGCAATTTATATTGATCTGGAATCTATGCACACCTCCAATGCTCACCTCTATTAACATGGATAATCAAGATTTGAGAGTAATATTATGCTTCTCTGGTACATCTGCTATTCATTTTCATATAATATACAATATCAATATAATAAGTACAAATTTCAAATGTCACATTAAAATAATAATACATCTTCACGTGAGGATTATGGCTCAGCATTTATCTGTCATACCTCTTATAGCAGAATCAAATACTTATATACTAAAGACAAAAAAATTACAAAACGTTGTGAAGTTTAATTTAAATTGCTGAACCAAAAAACATGGCTAAATATAAACTTTGGATGACTATCATATTAAAGGTGGGAAAACTCTAACAAAACCATCCACATTACTTATGTTTCTGTCATGGGTACAGTACATTACTTAATTACTGAAAGTGTGTTTATTGAGCATAAAGTATAAAGCTATATTTTCATGTACTAAAAGTTCAAATTCAAGGCAGAAATCCTTCAATAATTTGCTACATAAACCCAAACAGAAGCACAAAATGTGAAATTCCCAATTATTCTCCAAATGTGGAGATCAGCGGTAGTTCACTATTTTCCAGAGCATATAAATCTTGCTCTCTCTGCCTTCTTCCAATTTACTTATCCTTAAAGCTATCACTTTTTCCATCTAAATTAATATTAGTGTGCCTATAATGTATTGGATTATAGTAAACACTAAAATCAAAACAAAGTGATTTCCATTATTCAACTGGTTAAATTCACCTGGGAATGCAAGGCAAAATAAATGAGTTGCCAAGATTTCACAAAGGACTGCGAATAGATACTCGTATAATAAAGTACAATTATTCTCCTTACCACCACCCTATGGTCCTTCTGACTATGGGAACAGAAGGAGAATTTAGCCACTATTTTCATATTTATATTAATATTAGAACAATATTTTCAAAGACAATGAGAAAATACTTAAGACTTACATTGAAAATTGAAAGGATTACTTTCAAGGAATGCAATATGGATTAATATGGTGATTCAGTGGATTGGTCAGTGAAGATAGGCATTTTTATCTTATCACTGAATAAAGTCATGAATCAACCAGGAAAACTAAAAGGAGAAAAAAGCAACAATAAAGTTCTTGGATAAATGTTATATACAAGTAATCTGTTAACCCCTGGCCAGTAGTCCTACAAATTATACACACACACACACACACACACACACACACACATGCACGCACACATACAAAGAGAGACAGAAAGACAGAAGAAATGATTTTAGCATACATCGGGATTACACGCAGGGCTTATAAACACACAGATTTCTGGTTCCTGCCTCCAGAGTTTCTCATTAAGGTCAGAGATGGGGCCAGAATATTTGCATTTCTACCAACTTCCCAGGTGACATTGATGCTGCTGGTCAGGGAACCGTACTTTAAGAACCCCTAACCTAAAGGAAACTGGGAAAGAAAAGTAAAGGAACAGTAGTCCCAATAGCAGTACCTAGTCCTTCATAATTGGGCTATTTCTATTTAATTTAAAGCATTATATTGAATAATGTAGATAATTCTGATCAAAGTGAATGTTCTTTTAAACTATAGGCTTTTTTTTATTTTAACAGTCCAATATTATTTTCTCAACTAAACATTAAAGCTAAGAGAAAGTCTTTATAAAGTGTGTATTAGGATTCTAAACCACAAGTCTAACTAGTACCACTGTCTATCACAAATGATTGTATATAGAAGTAGACTTCTGTGCTTTAGAAACTGTCAAGACATATATATGCATATACCTACATATAGATAAACAGACAGACTTTGATCACAATGTATTTTACCAATCCAAAGAAGTATGAAATATTATTTGCATACTGGAAAGAGGTATTGGATATTTTATCTGGCATATTGCATTTGTTTCCAAAAGAGAATGTTAATGTCTGCGAGAAATGGTAAAAAATTACAATGCAGTATTTACTTAAGCCATGGTTTACTCACAACCAACTGTTATCCCTTTAAAAATATAGATGCTCATTTCAGAAAAAAATAGTATTTTTGTATATCAAGATGAAAATATTATGATTACCAAATGATATTATTTTGATGTTGCCATGCTGTTTTCAATAAGACAGTTCCCTGGCTGATATTAATAGTATAAGGCACTAAATAAAAAAGAAAAAGAAAAGATCTATGAAAAAAGAATACTAAAATTTATAT